CCCCCGCCATTCACCCAGACCACTCTGCAGCTGGGACTGAGCACTGGTGTTGCGACAGCGCTGGACAAAACCCGCTTCGGGGAGCTGGTTACAAACGCCCCAGCACTCGCGGCTGGAGAGTTAACCACCCTTGAGAAAAAAAACAGCGAAGGGCGTTTGTTCAAAGGGGAGAGAGCTGGTTTGCAGCTCTGTCCATCTGGCCCGCAGCCTTCCAACACCAAGTTCATTTCCCTTCCGCTTGGTACTTCCCAGGCGGGACAAACACGGCAGCAGAAAAGCAAACAGCCCAGTCGGGCACCCTCTGCATTCCCACGGCACTGGCTGCATGGGAAAGGCAAGCGGCGCTTCGAAACCCGCTTTCCCACCCACAGCACGCGGACTGGCGAGGGGCAATCCACAGCTGCAGGAACGCAAACAAACGCAGAGCCACAAAGCGGGCGGCCAAAACCTAACAGAAACTGCAGCAGCCTTTTTCCTGCCTCAACTCCTGCCCTCTCACCACCTTCCCCAGCACCTGGGAAGACACCTTCTCCGAGCTATCAAGCAGGGGGTTTTCTCCGAGGGCGGTATTTCGTGAGCCAGCCAGGCAGGCAGCTGGAGATGCAAACCCTTTGCTAGACCCAAAACCCTCCCCAAGCCTGCTCCCAGCACACCGCACAAGGATGGTGGCGGCACGTTACCTAAGGGACGGCGCAGCCGGAATAACCCTCTGCAGCCAGAGCAATCCCATCCAGTTTCCTGTGAACGCAGCTTGCAAAGCCGGCTAACAGCGAGATTAAAAAACCTGCTGGTTAAAATCCAGCCCTGGGTCTTGGCACTCAGGGTTGCACCCGGAGCTGAGCACCCTCAGGAGCAAGACCGGAGCTCCGGGAGCACCAAAAGGGTGGCAGGTGACTGACCTTGTCCCAGGCAAGTGGTGGCAGCTCAACCCCAAGAGAAGAGGCAGTGGGAAGGGACAGGAGGGACACACAAAGGCAGCACTCTCCTACCTGCCCAGCGGAGTACAGACGTTCAATGGCAATGGAAAAAGAGGAGGCTGAACTACTCTCCCTGGGAAACTCGTAGTAGTCCATACCACCATAAAAGCAGGCTGAAGGTCAAGGCAGGGGTGTTACTCTCTCTTGTACACTCGTGTAACACAAAGCCCTGAAAGTTCAGCTCTAGCAGCACATGTCAGAGGTTGCGTACGTGATCTAACCCCGTATTTCTTACAACAACCTTCCAAACCAGCTCAGTCGCGGCGCCCAGCTTCCCATCCCGAATTCCATACACCTCGCCTGGATCTTGCGGCTTTCCCAATGAAATACATTGGCCTGCTCAGCATATCAGCACGCTGAAGGCAGCACAAGCGATGTTGGAGCAGCCTGGAGAGAAACGTCGCGTGTTCATGGCCTGCAGAGACAGGAACCTGAAACAGGCGAAGCTGGAACCCGCAGCAAAGACGCTCCGTGGCTGGAAACGCAGAGCTCTGACACACGTGCGACCCAGCGCCTGCAAGGCTGTCACCTCCTGGGAGCTCCCACATCCCAGAGGCTTTTCCAGGGCTCTCCTTCATTATTTCTGAGCAGCAAACCCTGCAGCAGGCTGGACCTGCGCGTGGCTCAGCCAAGGGCAGGAATTTTTCCAGTGGTGACACCTTGCAAGTCGCAGGGAGCATCCCATTCCTCTGCCTCAGAGAGCGGAGCACGCGGGGCAGGGGACAGGCACGGGGCTGGCCGCTTTGGAATAGGATCCCTGTGTTCACCGAAGGCAGATGGAAAGGTCAGAGGCTTGCCCAACAGAAACAACAGATTTCATGGGAAGGAAAAAACATTCCAGCTGGTAAACACATCAGAAGAAGTGAGCGCAAGGTGCTTGTGCCCTGCAAGTCTGGGTAACGGTGCCGCTCTCCCAGAGAGCTGCTGCTTACTCACACGCCGGCTTTGAATCCCTCCCCATCAACTACATCCTCTGGCCGGCCGTTACGTTGGTTTCTCCTCTCGGACCAGGATACCAGGAGTGGGGAAAGCTGAAATCGCTCAACAGCCACTGGCCTTGTGCAATCGGAGGCGGAGAGGCTGAGAGGCATTGCTTCAGCTCCTCGTACAAAACCCACTGCCAAAATCCAGCCTCCTAAACCAGCTCTCCCAGCAAACTGCTTTGTGTTAGTGTGGTAGGAGAACAAATGGGACTTTTTTTCTCCCCAAAAGGCTGCCATAGCCTTGTCCACCAGCAGATCCAGAGCCGATTCTGAGAAATGCCTCCCCTGGGTATAGAGAGACAAACATCGGCTTAGGTAGCCACAGAATCCAATCCCCTCGCCCCTCGTGGGCGATGAACCTCGTACCCCAACCAGACCTATGCCAAGAAATTAGGAATTTCCGAAGAGATAAACCTTGAAATACACCAGTAACCCAAGAAATGCACTGCTGCGCTCAGCAGAACCACAGCACGTGTCTTTGTGCGCTCGCCAAACAGCGGCAAAGCCCTCAGAGGGCAACCAAAACATGCAGCGTTGGAGCTGCAAGCCTTCGCAGACTTCTCAAAGCACCTGAGAGCCCCTGGTGTCTTCGTGGCTCACTCAGGAGCCGTCCCTGCGAGACTGCTGCTAGCTGCAGCTTCCGGAGGTCTGGCAAACCTGGTCCCTGCAGAGAAGGGGCAGAGGCCAAGGGGAGCAGTGTGCGTGTGCCGATGTCGATCCCTGCTGCCTGCTCCCCGAAGCGACTGCGGATGTGGCCTGGAGCAAACACGAGCGAGAGGAAATACCCTGGCAAAGATAAAAACCCCTGTGGTCTTAGACCCAGCGAGGTGCGCCTTGGCGGGAAGGCAAGTCGCTATTCGGCTGTTTTTACATCTCCAGAACTGGTACCTTTGTGTCGCAGCGGCTGGGCTAAATGAATCCACCCAGCCAGGGATGAGTGCATTCTCCCCAGATGCTCCACTCCCGCACCACCTGCTTCTCTCCAGGACACGGGGGCACTAAGCCATCCCCAAATCTACCCTCCATCTAGGGGAAACATTGCAAGGCAGAGCTCAGGAAGCCTGTGAGACTGCAAAGGCATCTCACGGGAACAGAGCTGAAAATCTGACCTGGAGACAAGCAGAAAACTCCCTGTGGGGAAGGGGAAACCGTCCCAAAGTCACACATAAACAGAGCAGAGCCAGAGCTTCTGGCAAGAACTCCTGCAACATCGGCAAAAAGCATCGCTCCACCTGACTGACATGCACCAAGGATCAGCTGCTCCAGAGTTCATGGGAATGTGCGTCCTTCAAAGCTAATAGAAAATCCTGAAAAACAGAGAAGAGCCCCAAAAATCTTGGATTCTGATCTCTTTTCTGACTTCCCATTTAGCTCCTGGAATTGCCAACAAAGAGCAGCGTTTTAAGGACTTTGCATTTTCGCCACCAACTCACAAGCACGACGACAGCAATAAACCCCTCCTTAACACAGCGCCACGTCTGGGAGGGCACGGAAATCCAACCAGAGAATATAAAACATCTACACCATCAGCTTCGGCACGGACCAGGTCACCTGTGACACCTCCCAGCTCCCAGGAGATGCTTGGCCAAGGGCGGATATGAAGCTGTTGGCATTTCTAGCCTGCTCATCAGGGCCAGAGTTCGACTGGGAGGCACCAGGAGGGAGCTCTCACCCCATTGCGTCCACACACCACAGTCTGCTGCAAGAAAACAAGCACTAGAGCGAACAAGGGTCCTGGGAGAGGATGCCCTGAAAGCGGTGAATGCACACTGAGCCATCACATGCCCATCTCCAGCTTTCTGCCTCAATAAAGTCCTAATTCTTTAAAAAAGAATAAGGGTTAGGCATCAGTTTGCACAGTCATTTGTGCTGGAGCACAGCCCTCTCAGCAGAAAGGATGGTGAGGGAGCACTGGATGGGAAAGGGGAACAGGAACCGTCGCAAGAGAGAAGCGGTGAGCTCCACGGGCAGCATCACGCTGCCCATGTCATCAGAGCAGACAGCACTGCCCTCGGAATTAATCTGTATCTCCCCGGGAGGACAAGCCGCAGATGGGAAACCAACACCACGCTCCCAATTCCCTTGGATGTGTGCTGGAATTGAAGCAGGGACCCAGCTCGCTACTGCTGAGCTCTCCCGACCTCTCCTGAAGCCACCAAGGGCAGCAGCCTCTCCACCTCTCCGGCTGCAGGATTTACCGGGTGTCTGAATTACACGTTCTGCCTCTCGCTGCGGTCGGGGCCTGATCTCACACGCTGCGGTCAGTGGCACAGCTGCTGCCAATCTCTGAGATATGGGTGAATCACAGAATCACAGAATGGTTTGGGTTGGAAGGGACCTTAAAGCCCACCCAGTCCCACCCCCTGCCATGGGCAGGGACCCCTTCCACTAGACCAGGTTGCTCCAAGTATCCAGATCGGGCACTTGGGTATCGCGCAGAGAAACCCACAGGCTTGTAAATACCCTCTCCAACCCCACCTCTTCTAGCTGTGCTCCATCCCTTCTCTATTTCTAGGAAAATAAGAGAGAAACAGTCCTGTTCACTGAGGTTTGAGGGATTCGCTTGGAACTGAAGCGCTTTTTTTGCTGTCGATTTGTACGGAATTTATTCATCGCTTGTGCTCTCATCTCCCACTCCTGAAATTCAGAAACACCCTGGAGAAACTGAAGTCACAGCCAGGTAAAGTCACCGGTCTCCATGGCACAAACCCTGCCCAGGGCCACTCCGTGAAAATAAGGCCTTTTGCTGCTGCTGCCACTCAAAGCCTGACAGCACAACCAGGTATCTCAGCCTTCCGTGGTGGTTTGTCCCAGTTTACCCAGTCTGGAGGTGGAGTTTAGTCCTGGCCGTCTTCTGCATAACTCCTAAGAGCCCACACATTGCCCTTTGAAGCTGAGGAAAGAAAACCTATTCCCACCTGGCTGAAAAGCAGCAGGGAGAGGAGTGCGCAGCACCGCGAACGCATCCCAACCCTCCGCTCTGCCACTCAAACCCGCAGCGATGTCGAAAGCAAGGAGCAAGCAGCCTACGCAGCCAGGAAGGTTTTGAGATCAGAGGTGAGATACTTGGAAAACTCCTCCACACCCCATGACACAATCCCAGTGACGAGGAGTTACTCAAGACGGACCCAGAGGTAGGGAGAGGAGGATGAAGGAGAGGAGGATTTCCCAGGGCGCAGCCAGGGAGTGGGAAGGGTGTACCTGCTCCCCACCCTACTACCTTACTCTGCCCACTAACGGAGAAAAAATAAATATTGGGGACTTTGAGGGAAGCAACGTCCCCAAGGAGAATGGCAGTCCAGGGGGAAGACGCAGGGGTGTGCCAGCAGCGGACTTTCGCCACGCGGTTGAGGTTGGTTTCACCGGGACGGTGTAAGTCTGCCAGCCTGCCGCCTCGGGTAGGTTCCTACGTTTCCCTGAGCTGAACAGAAAAGCAAAAAGGGAAGGATTGAAAAAACCCGAAATCCCTCTTTGCTGCTGGACCAAGACAGGAGTTGGCAGAGACGGAGGCAGGTCAAGACAGGGGTGTGTTGGTGACTCCTGTTTGAGTACGGTAATTAAAAATAACCACCCTGTTGACTTTACAGCATCTCCATCAGGGATCCTCCACGGGTTTTCTGAATGCAAACAACTCACGTGCAAGGAATTCGGTGTGGCAAGTAGCATCTCCTTCTACATGTGGGGAAACTGAGGCA